AGAATGAATGCTATTGAAGAAGTATGAATTGCACAAGGTAATAATGGATTGAAAAGCGTTAAAGTTTTGGAAAAATGGACATTCGCTATTATTTGTTTGATGGTGAAATATTGATAATTGAATGAATCGAAATATTTCTTTGATCGTTTCCATCGGTCAGTCGATATTATCGCGGTGTTGTGAATCTATATGAATGAAGAAGCAGTGAATAGTTGGATAAGAGATAATTATTTAATAGAGCTGATTAAATCAGCTGGTAAGGAGCAAACAAATATCTCTTAGATCTAGGTGGAAAGCTCGGTTTTCAGCTGAAATGTTTCAGTTATTAGTGTTAGCGATAAGGAGCTGGACGAATGAATCTGTTAATGTTGTTGCGTGAAGCGATGACCAATTTTTGGCTGATGCCTTTGATAAGAGTGTATCAATCGATAAGAAAGTTGAGATAAGATGTGTGTTTGTGATAAGTTGAGTTGTGAAGCGAGTCGTTGGTAGAGCAACTAACTGGCATTAGTGCAGTAGGGGGTGGTATGAAAGAAGTTGTTGATTGTGATGAGATAGGCCCGTAGGGCATGCACGTGCGCATCCGAGGTGAAATGTGATTGAGTGCTGCTGCTGCTACGTAGAGTGCTGAAGAATGCTTAAGCAGCGAATCAGCGCATTCTCAAATACTACTTGAGATAAATTGATAGTTAGGTAGGTGGGTACAACATATTTCCATACAATATTGACTTCTTCGATTGGTTCACTTATATCGACAGTATTTTTACACCATTCTGTGCATCGTCTATTGCGCTCTTCTCGGAGGTCTCAGCATTCGACCGATTTGGAGGAATTTCGTCAAATATTGTTGAATGTTTGATAAGTGTCCAAAGCTTGAAAACATGAATGTAACCGTGAGGATAAAGCCAAGCGTAAGACAGAGCCTAAATGTCTGCCTAAGCCACTGAAAGCTTCCAATTGTTCACGGATACTCTTCTGCCACTCCTTATTGCTGATTCGTGAATGAACCAACCAACCAAATGAATGCATCCATTCCGCCCATGTTGAAATATTTCATTGATAATCTGTCTTTTTTTACGATCCTGCTGTTTTTTGATCATTTGTCGCTATCACTTCTTTATTATGACCAATAATTTCCAAACTGTCAACAGTTACTGTTCGTCATCGTGATATAATTTTTACTTATGGTAATAGTTTGCTATTTTGATTCATCATCATAATCAAAAAGCACAAGTGGATAGCGAAATGCCAATATAATTGATTGAAATCACTATATTCACTATCACTATTATACTTTTTAAATACTCCCAACTTGAGCAACAATTTCCTTACATCTGAATCGAATTTCTCTGTTATCTCACTGTGAGCAGTAGGACGATGAACATTATTGAATCATCGTGAGCGTTCAATAAGTGAAACAGTGGATTTGTCTGTTTGAAAACGCAATAAATGAAGTTGTGATGAAATCATAATATTGAATACTAGTTTACGTTGTTATTTTGTGAGCGATGGCGTTTTATAATAATAACATCGTCATCATCATCGTTGAGTTGCATTGAGACAGTTGTTATTGATATGTATGTATGTGTATAGTTGTTGTTAGCCGAGATTTCGAAATGGAGAGGTGACCTATGTAAGATTCTGGAATTCTTTATTTTATATGTCGACGAAATTTTATTGCCGAATTGAACAGAAATAATATACATGAGAAATTTGTGCTTCGTCTACGAGATCAGCACCACACATGGTTTGGCTATCAGTTCTTATAGTTGCGCTAGGTGTCATTTTCAGACACTCATCCAGGCAACTGTATTCTGTAGTCGTCCTTACTCACCCACCTCCTCCTCCACAGCCGTCCATCCGCATCCTCATCATTCAGTCATAAATGTCGAATACTAAAGCCACTCATATTATTAACATTTCTTTTGATCGATCGTTTATCTTGCACATGCATAAAAAAGTTATTTATTCTGTAGATTTGTTATATTATTTATTCTGTAGATTATTATAAGTGCGTGTGTTTGCGCGTTTGTTTGTATGTGAAAGATGAAACGGCAACGGAAGAGAGGTGATTAACAACAACAACGAATGTGCATTAAAAAACATTTGCAAGAGTTCATTCGTTGCATATCGCAAATTTGATTTTCAATTTTCAACAACGCCAACCGAAAGGCAACTGAATCTTTTTCAGCTGAGTTTTGCTCTTTTCTCGTCTGCTGTTTGCAATATTTGGTTCATAATCCCTTATTCGTTCCGGAAGTAACCATTTTTCGAGACAGTCTTCGTGAACATTCACCAGCAATGTCTCGAATGATCTTTTTTTTTGTTTTTCGTTTTTTTTTCGGGTTTTTATTAAGTGGCAGTGTTCATTTATTTTTAATAAGTCGGTCTGTCACTGATGTCTCTTCATTTCTTTGTCAATCAGTTCATTGCTTCTGGCAATTTTACGCTTAGTTGCTACGTTAGTCTAGAATTGAATGGTACTCCGAAACATATAATTCTCTGAACATTGTTATAATTAGTGATCGATAAGCTACCGCTCATGCAACAACTGAAACTCTTATCTATTTTCGTTTTTCATTGCTTTCTTTTTTTTGAGACAGGTGCAGCCATTTTGCATGGGATATACAAATGTTTAGTAAGAAAGCTCATGGATCTTCAGCTATTTGTGGTTGTAATCGATGCTCATTTTTATTACCACCTCCAACATTCACTGCAGCATTGAGTGGTCAATGGCTGAGAAGATTTATTTCAGTTGGCTGCACTTACATTCGGTGAGCTCCTTGCTTGAATTTCATTTCTTGAACTGTGCAAATGCAGCTGAATGTTGTGTTAGTGCCATTTGCAGATGTTTCCAACATCATCGAATAGATATCTATCTGAATTCACCTTCCCCGTACAAATAGAAGCACTGATTGATTTGTGATGAGATGCATAAAATGTTACGTTATCCTCATGAACAATTAATTAGTGAATACATTAATTGTTTATATTGGAACGTTTAGAATCGACGGTTCCGTTGAAATACTAGCCTTTTGCGCGGCTTGATGCGTTTATCGTTTCGAAACAAATATCAGTTTTCGTTTAGGTAGCTGAAAGTTATCATTACCAATAAATAAGTTGATAACAAGTATATGTTGTTCATTTCTTTTTTCATTGACAATGCCACTTCATTAACTAATGTACATATCGCATGTCATTCTTTGTGGCAGCTAGAAATCAGGCCAAATTTTTGTTAAAAGATTAGAAAAGGTAGGCATAAAGAAGGCACATTATATCTTCAGCTTCGTTTTAATCACATTTTGAAGAAATTTGTGACAATTTGTTTTGCTTTGAATGGAATAAACGGTAGAAAATGACAAAACGAAATGCTTCACGGATGGTAGTCAAAAAAAGAGAATGTTGAGCCGATTTCCGTTTAGTGTTCATGCAGCTTACAATTCAGTATGAGTGTTCTTAGTGAAATGAGAAAAGGGCTGTTAGAATATTTGTCGTGTTTTTCATTGAAATGGCAGAAACACATTTTCTATCAGATCGTATATTCTTTCAACTTGCTGCATGATCCATGCAAAGAATTGATTTGTTCAAGTTTAACTTTAAATGAGTTGTTGATATTGCGTCGTGAACTTGTTTGAATATGACAAATCATCGAGTTGAACTGCAGTATTGCGTAAGTACGAGTGTTTGTTGATCAGGTTTGTTCATCGTTTCATGTTTGTTTTCAACTGATCAGCATCACAAAGCCAGCCAGTCAGCCATTCCACCCAGCTCCTCTTCCGCCATTAATCGATTATTCCATTTCGCTTTTCTCACACTTCGTCTTCTCCTATAGATAACAACAACAACAATGAAACGTTCTCGATTTTTCATCAGCCGTTTCGAAATGAATGATGCAATTCGTGTTGAATTGAAACCACTGGTCTTTCATCAATACTGTCTGATTATGTATTCACTTATAATACAATCAACCCGAAAATTCGTTTGTTCGTTTACCCTTAATCACTCAGTTAATACCAGTACTGTATTTTTTGTTTTTGCTGTTTACTTGATAAATGATGGAATGAGAAATAAATTGGATGTTATATTTCCAGCTAGGGTAAGAGCAAAACATTTACTTAACGGCTGCATATTGCTATTTGAAATGCAATAGAATACATGTTATACATACATAAAATAAATGTGGCGTTCAGCTCGGACTAAGAGAGCGAGCGACTCGAGACTTGAAGAGTTGAGGAGGGAAGGGTATAAATGAGTTGTTGTGTTCAGATGATCTTATTGACACATGACATTATTCATTCTTATATCATACAAGTTTAATGTCGTCGTTATTTCTTGTTTCACTTATCAATCGATCATCACTCGCTGTTAGATATTCCGCTGCTAAGCTATCTAAAGTATCATGTCTTTTATCCTTGCTTAATTATAACACAGCTAGTAATGAAAGTAACATAATTCTCATTAGTTGAATTGTTGTTCATTGCTATGAATATTAGTTGAAAGCAAACTTGTTCGCCTGTTAACAAAACGAGCATAGGTAAGAACACAGTTGTGCTAACATGAGTGAGGCAAATTCTTCTTTTCTCAATTGATTTGCATAGTTTCAGGTGCGCGCTTGGGTATAACTCAACTATATAACGTATTTCTTGTACTTAAACTCATCATTGCTGATTGTTTACACCACGTATCTTTATCTCATTCCTTCACACTCAAAATTCCACCCGTCATTTTTTCCGGCAACCACTCAATATTTGATACATATGTTTATACCTACGTGCTAAACGGTAATGTCTGCATCCAGTCGTTTTTCGCTCTTCATCCATTATTATTTCGATATTGAAGTTTGACCGATGTTTCGCGTATATTTATTCCATCATCTCAAACAACTTCGATTCAATGTGCGAGCTTAATTAATTGTTTTTGTCTCGCATTCCAGGTTGAATTTTTATGAGTTCCATCTGAAGTAACGACAACAGCGTTTATCAACCAAAATTGAATCACCGATGGGTGAGTTCCGGTTGAATGAGTCGCCAGTGCTAACATCACACGGCTTCAGAAGGCTGGATGGTAAAAATGTGCGTAACAATAGAGCAATGCAGGGTTTAGCTTTATCACCAACAACCTCATCAACATCACCACATCTCATACCACGCTTAACCAACAATAATGCTAGCAATAATAGTAATTCATCAAAAGCGTTTGATAATTGGCATCCTCGTATAAATGATTCATCAATAGTCAATTATTACTGGAAAACACCTAAGCCTATAGCAAGCAACCAACAATCAATGACCACTCAAAAAGCAACCGATTCATCAACATCACGTCCGTCAACTATCAATAGTTCATCTCGTAATACCTACTTTTCAAATGGAACCATCACAGGTGCGCATCCAAAAGTGGCACCAACTGGTTATGCACCCAACAGATTTCCCCTATCAGTCTCATACAACTCAGATCTTTCCACCGAAACCTTCTCATCGTCAGTATATCCATCTTCAAATGCATCTACGTCAGCATCTATTTCAAGCGAACGAATAAGTTCTTCACACTCGAAACCCGCTAATACTTCAGCATCACCCATTTACTCTTCTCTTCCGAGCAATGCTTGCACTATTACTGCAAGTAAAGCCGCTAGTCCTTACAAGAAAAATACTGATAGCAATAATAATTCTAATATCTATTTCGGTACCTCGTCATCACGAAACGTTGTTGATGAAATTGTTGGTGGTTATGAGAATGTGCCTAGTAATAGTTACAGTAGCAGAGCGTACCAAAATCGTCTAGCTACACAACGGCAGATTCCGCTGCAAGGATTAACCGATAACATCGCTCCAAAACTTAATACGATCAGCTATTTTACACCTTCATCAGTTAATGCAAACGACAAAAAAGCAACAACACCATCGCCAATAACAACCAAATCCAATACTTTTGATCGTTGTGTTCACCCTGTATGGACAGTTCAAAACAAGCAACAAGTAAGCGGTGGTAAGACAATTGCGATCATTCATCAGCTGAGTGCTTTTGTTTCAGCAAATCATCAGATGCGTTTGCAATCATTATTCGTACAAAGAATGATGTGTGTAATTAACGTATCTTATACGACCAACTATTTCCTATCAGCACCTCCATTGTTTTTATACATGTATCGATCGTTGTTGAATGCGACACTTATTAGAGTTTTCTTCATCAATTATATTGCAAATACTCGTCAATATTTACTCCGCATCCACACGTTTATTTATTTCCTTTTGTCCTGAATTGCTTTATGAACTCATTCCATCCATAACCAGTTATGAATAATTGGTTCATATATATATGAATCAGCCGAACGATAATTTTTGCTTTTTGCGCTTTTTTTTAGTTGGAAAGCTGCCTTCAAAAGATAGATTTTAAGTGTTGATTGCATACAATGTCCTAAACAGTATCACATCGTATTATTTCACAAGCGATCAGATCAATTGATCCATTTCTAAAAAGATATGTTCTAATGTCTTCGAAATCTTAATTTCCAGCTAATCGATGTTGTTATCGAAATACCATGCAAGCAGTTCATTTCTATTTTGTCTAGAAAGCATTGCTCTTCTCATTTTATCAATCAGTTTCATTTATGCACTAATTGGGTCATTCTCTATGTTTTTATTCACTTTGGTGAAAAGAGTCACGAAAAAATTCTTCTCTTTAAATCAGTAATTTTCAGCTGCCAAACCGACACTAACCGTTCGTAATGGATCCTCATCGCGTTCAAGTGATTCACGAAGTAAGCCACGCATGCCCAAGTTCTTTCACACGTTATGCTGTTGCGTACGACCTGAAACAACTGCCAATAGTAAGTGACCAATAGTTATTCAATTATTGCTTCTGTTATGCACTGCTTCTTCTATTAGCATTTTAAACAGCATTTCGTTCCGTCGTGAACGGCAATCATATCATCGTTGGATGTTTGATTATTATTTATTGATTTTCTCACCTTCATCATTACACGATAACGATCGTTACTGTTATTATTTTTATTATTATTAATTAATTATTTTATCATTTATTATTATCATTAATTAATCAGTATTGTTGCTGTTATCATCTATCATTACGGCCATCTCATAATCCACACATATTCTTTAAAAAACAAAAAATTACCATCATTTTCATCGGAATCCAATTAAATGAATATACTTATTGGAAGTTTGAAAGAGAAATGCTAAATAAATAAAGTTGATGTTGAGGAGAGAAACGGCGAAGCTTGCAACAAGGCTCAACGCTACCAAACGCAAGTTCACTGATAACACAAGTGAAGAAGAATTCTGTGAATAATGCTGCGAACGCCAATGGTAATACGGCTGCGAATGACTCGTATACGATTGACGATTCGGATGCTGCCGAGAGTATGCCTATGGTGAGCAATTGTTTCATCTTATACCCCGTTAAGTATCTTTTTTTCTAACCTCACAGAATATCTTCAATTATTTATTCTATCGAATCATATCCCTATACTTATGTGACACATGGTGGCCAATAGTTCTGAACTTAATCACGTTATGTTTGTATTTATCGCAACAGCTGATAGCAGTATTGTATTTTTACGATCTCTCTGTCTTATTTTGCCTAATTGGAAGCAGTCCACATCACAGCAAATCAGCTGAGTATGGCTCATTTTTGAATCGAAGTTTACCTCGAAAGTTATTTATACTTCTGTTAAAAAATAGATTCTCGAAAAGTTGTGAGGGAAACAGTTGTTTGTGTGCTATGAACAATGCTAAATTAAAAATTGCAATTATGAAAGTTGGAAATGTATGATGATGCCTATCATAAAAAGTGTTGTGATTGCTAACCTAAGAGAAACTTAGTACGAATGTTTAAAATTGCTTCAATACTGAAACTATTCTTCATCTTCTATTATTTATTTTAACAGTGTTCTAGTAGAATATGCTCCTTCACAAAGGTCATATGAAAAGTTATGAGGCAATAGAAGAGTATCATTAAGTACGTTCATTGTTTGTTGTCTGACGGTCGATCACTGCGATGCTCGAGTACCGCTCAAGTGAGTCTGATCACTGAATCGATTCGTTTACTTCTGTCTGGTTTACATGATGAATCGTTTGTGTAATTTAGATTCAATTAGAAGATTGACAGTTACAGTTGACTTCTGATCGCATCTTTGTATTATTGGTACTTTCTGACTCTATTATTTTCATGTACACTTGAGCATATGGTTACTGAGTTTAAGCCATAGACCAGAGTCTAAATCTGGCGTAACCAGAAATCAAATACCATGCATTCTTAAGAGTATTTCATCTGATGCTGAATACGGAAAGTGGATTTATTTTTCATGTATATTCCTAGAGAGAGATAATGTTTTCATTCAGCATTTTTAATAATATCTCGCAGTTGTGTCATAAAACAGTATCTTATCTCTTTTTTGGTTTCTGATCAGTTTTCTACGTGATTCTCTGAACATTTCTATGCATTACCGTCATGTGCTCTACAATGTGATATACTGTAAGTAGTTCAATAGTATCAAATAGGATTCATCTGTAATTTATCGGCTAGTTGAAATTCTTTTTGTTTTACACTATGTCGATGATTGATCTTATGAGTATTGAAAAACTGATTAAATGACTAACGCTGAGATTATGTGGTGTTGCGCAGTGATCAGTAGAATGCACATAAATGTATTCTTTGATCGTTTCATTGAATAGAATCGCAATCTTCATGTATATCACTCGACTAATGCAAACTCGAGTAGTTTCTTATAGTTAAGCTTTCTGAGATTCTTTCTCTACTTTCAGTAACTCGCTGAAATGAATGTCATTCATCCATCATTCGTTATTTTTTGTAGCATTCTCGTTTGTGTTGATCGTAGCGGAAAATGTTTATTCTATTGAAAATTTTCTGATGAATAGTTGTTGTTCACTGATTTCAATGCTATCAGTATAAAGTGTTAAAAAACAACTAGTTTGAATGATTAGCTTGATTCTTAAAGTGCAGATCGGTTGAGAATGATCTTTTGTTGTTTTTTTCTATTATCTAGTCTGTTTGCTTTCTCATTATGAGTCTCTTAGATGAGAGTTTTGTGAATGTTCATGCTAGATGAATTCCGTACGATTTCTACTAGTATTGATCATTTATCTGATCAAAATAGATCGCTTGATATTGCTTTTTCTGAATGTCTGGCGAATTGTTTATCGCATAAAGTAATTTTTGAAATTACTCAACCTCATCGTGCCACAATTACGTCAATTGTGTTTGTTTTTCGTGATTTGCAGCAAATGAAATTTATCGTTTTGCCATTCACATTCGCTTGTTGTTCACGTTTGAGTGATACTTCTTACCTAATCGTCCATTCTTTTTAGCATATGTGCTTTCTGATCGGACTGATGTGAAGAGCAGTCGTGATTGTTTCACAATTTTATATGCTAACCCTAATCGTGCGCAACCAGTAATATCTTTGTACTAGAAGCTAGTAATATGTCTGTATTGATAGTAATAGAGATACAGTGCTGCAGAGCGAGAGCGCATTGCAGGTACAATATTGTGTCAGTTTTTCGAAACAGAGTAAAGGTATAACGGTGTACCGGAAATACTGATGCAATACATCACTTTGTACAGAAACTGGATGATCAGTTCTTGATTACTTTCGAATGCCCCTGAAATTTATGGAACGCAGTCGTTGAATTCTACAGTTTACATTGATTACTTCTGCGATTCTTTCATCGTTTTTTGAGAACACGTCGAATAATCCGTCAGAAATTATTATTGTGTTAACATTTTGTGACCAACATTAAAAGCAAAACTTTTTCTTCAATTATATTCTGTTCAGTTTGTGTTCGTTCTTATTGTTCTCATTTGCTTAAGTTGTGAATTATCATCATTCTTATTCTCCTTTTTTTTCGTTTCGAAGTAGTAGGTGTGCCAGTTGCGACCAGTCATCGTTTTCAAAGAACTTATGCAACACTGAATGGCCATTTGACGTTCATCAGTTGAAATTCAGTATTGAAACGAACGTTTATTTGTTGCTGTTACGAATACTGAATGTGATCTGTTTGCGAGAATTCATTCGGTTCGTTTGTTTATCGATGGTCGCTGCTGCTCAGTGTTCAAGTGAACAAATCTTTTCACCGTTCCATCATGCTGCCCCGATACCTTCTGCATCATTATCTTCATTAGTGTCAAATTTTCGTTCACATACGATCAGTGTTGATGATCCTACAAATAACAATTATAATGATCAAAGCGATGATACTTATGAACGACCGAAAGTGAAACGCATTTGGAAATGGAGACTGAATTATGTATGTAAAGCTGATCTATTAAGATAACTGTCGAAGTGTTTTTTTTTTCAAGTTAACGGTATTTTTTGATTGATATCATTGGCCACCCACATAAGTACTTTTCTTATCGAATGATGGTGAATAGATATTGAAAAATCTTTATGCAGCTACCATTATACGTGAAATTTTCTGTTCCAATGATGGCCAGGGATATAGAGAGCAGTCAGTCGGTTGTGCTGAGAGTTCTTCATGCATCAGTTATGTTGATGCTGCAATTTGGGCATAAAATTTTATGGTGATTTTTTGGTCGATTTCAGATTCTTCATAAAAGTTTAGAAGAAAACTAGAACGTATTGGAAATGCTATACATTTTGTTTACTCTACCTGTTTGCTAAAATAAGCTGACTAGTTGAAGGGAATGAATGCGTTAAGTAGTTGAAAGCAATTCATCGACTGAGATGGATAAATTTATTGATAAAGTGCTGTTCAATCCAAGCAGATAGTTCTGGTTATTGTAAAATATTAGATAATCATTCAAAACAAAGAACAGTGAAATTGCAGCAACCCGCCGAGAAGCTGCTATTGCCACCGTTACGGGCGTGTGACTCTAGCAAAAAGTGCCTCATTATTGATTTAGATGAAACGTTGGTTCATTCTTCCTTCAAAGTTAGTTTTTCAATACGTTGTTCACATTTCAATTGTATGTTGCAGTTGAAGAAGTTTCTCAGCTTTTGCAAAGTTATGCTCATAGGAATGCATTTATACTTGTGTATATATGTGATATTGACTGCTTATAACTACCAGTTGAAAGCATTTATCAAATGAAACATTGCTTTTCATTAGCACGTATCATTGGAATTCCAGTGAAATAAGTGAAGAATGAAGTGCAAAACAACAATGACGAACGAATGTTTTTTGAAAACATTCTTCCTCGATTGTATTCTCTTTTTTCAATTTGTAATCTTTTTTTTTCGGTGAAGAATGCAGATTTTTCTTAGCACAATTCATCTGCTCATATTGTGTCATCATGAGTGTGGCACACATGATAAGAAGAAATTTCGTGGAATTTCAGCCGGTGAAGAATGCAGATTTTGTGATTCCCGTCGAAATTGATAATGTGATACACCAAGTTTACGTCCTTAAACGGCCATTTGTAGACGAATTTTTGGACAAGATTGGCGACAAATTTGAATGTGTTTTGTTTACAGCTAGTTTAGCAAAGGTACGTACGTATAAATGTAAATCTGTGTGTGTGTATTCTTCATTTTACTGGTTAATTTTCTTGATTTGCTTAAAGTGGAAAATTGTTGCTGATCTTCTATTGAAATTAGATTTGTATCTGAGTTCAGAATTCGTTGAATTGTCAGTCAATAAATTGTGCATTATTGTTACAGTATGCGGATCCTGTTGCTGATTTATTAGACAAGCGAGGGGTATTCCGGTCGCGATTATTTAGAGAGGCTTGTGTATTCCATAAAGGAAATTATGTGAAGGTAATTCGAATGTGCATTTTTGTTGGCTGTTATCTTTGACAAAATACATATCATTTTTGATTACTTGATGCATTTTATAAAAGAAGGTGATTTCATTTGTATATTAGATGCACTTCTCTTCTTCAGCAAACATTATTGAAAGGCTTTGTCTTATTTATGCACGCATCACTTACTGAAGATTATCTTATTTTTTTGCAGGATTTAACCCGTTTGGGAAGGGATTTAAAAAAGGTTATCATCGTGGACAACTCACCGGCCAGCTATGCATTCCATCCTGACAATGCTGTGAGCATTATTCTTCCTTTCATTTTATTTTCACGAAATCGCAAATAACAATAAACTATCTTCAGAAAATAGGATTATCCGTCCAGTTATCATCATTTCATTGTCAGCTATGTTGAAACTGTTGCATCTGTTCAAGTGTTACGTTTTTAAAAACAACGGTTATTGAGAAGTTTGAATTGAATTTTTATCGATTTGAGATTCCGGTACAATCATGGTTCGATGATGTGAATGATTCGGAGTTATTGCAAATAATTCCATTGCTCGAGCAACTGGCGAATGCTGAGAGTATTTATTCGATACTTCGCAATAGTAACGAGGATATTCGTCGAAGCAGTTCACCAGAAACACAGAACGATGCAAGTCGATCATCATCTTCATGACACTCCAGCTCATCGTCGAATTTAACTGCTTGCTCATTGTGCTGCATCTAATCCAATTCAAATCTTACATCCACCTCGTCTGCATCTATCATCATACATACATCATTCATGCACACCTTCTGTCGCTTTCCCTCAGTTTCATTCATTTTTTTCTCCTCAATTATTTACGATTTCGAGGTATGTTTCTGTGTATGATATATGAAGAAACGTTACACACCTCGAATGGAGTGGAACGTTCGAATGAAAATTAACTTTGAACTGAGGGGTGAAATGAAAACTGTTATTGTTACCTAACTGTCGTTATCATCGATGTGTATGTATGAAGGAAATAAGTGATTTGTCTCCATTGGTTGGTGATTTGCATGATGTGTACATATATGTAATGCTGTGTTACGTTATCATTGCTAATCAACGAATATCCTCGTTCCAGGCTAGTAACACAGATTTAGCAGTTTTTTGCATTGTTCAAAGGTTATCGTCATTTTAGCTTTTGTTGTTGTCGTCGTTGTTCAGGTGACAAACACAATGTTTGTGGTGGTGATTCTGTTGATTCGGGTCAATGTGTCTCGATTTTCAGTATTCATTCTCTTATCAATTCCATTCTTACGCATACATAAATAGCCGAAGCGCTGCTATGAGACATTTTCTTTCTGTATCATATGATGTTAGTCTGATAGAATTTCACGCGACGTTGCCTCTAAATTAGTTAGTTTCTTATTGTTTTTCATTTCTATTTCTTATTTTGTCATGTTCGCAATTTTTATGTTTCATGATCATCTTCTGTTAAGTCACTGCAAACGTTGACTGCTGTTCGTTCTGTAAAATCTGTCGTTCTTTCCTAGTTTCATCACTTGCAAACTATTCATTCGAATAGCAAACGAATAATTTTGTTGCTGATTTGTTGCTTATATCTTCAAGATGTGGTTTTCTTTTATGAACGAGACATTTATGAATATTTGTGCCTTTTATATTGTCATTATATTCCACAAAGCGGCCTTTTGGCACAGTACGTTGTCGTCTATTTTCAGATAATCGTTCTCATTGTTAGATTGTAGGAAATTTTTTATGATGCAATCCATTCTTATCGGTATTATGCCGTTTTGAAATTTGTTTGTATTCATCTCAAAAAATGGTACTTTCAGATTTCATTTTTGACCAAATTTTTGTTAAATTATTTGCATCTTTTGGAATCCACTGATATGAACATGTTTTTTTTCTGGGGAAATTTTGATCATATCTTTATTGCCTTCATCGGAGAAAATTTCGACTCGTTGGTGTAAATGTCATTACTTAAGTTGGTAGTTTCGATGCTAAGTGCCGCTTCACTGTAATTATTTCCGATAGAGTGTTTATTTGATATGTTCATAAACTATGTTGCTCTCACAGATGAGCTCATCTTCTTTCTTTTAAATTGTGATATTCTTTTATAAGGTGACGACTTATAGCTACGTTTCAGTTGTTTCTTTTGGTTATCCTCCAGTTACTGCTCGGTGTGCTCTCTGCTCGTATCTGAAACTGTTGGATGCTGTTTTTTAGAGGTTTGGAAAATTTGACGATTTTTCCAACCGTTTCAAAACCATCGGTTCATCGTTGACATAAACAGTGAAGTTGTTGATTGCTGAACGATTTATGTGATGATCCTGGCTCCATCCATTTCGTACTTTCTTGTTTCTCCTTAATCGTTACATGCATAACTGCTGTCGTAACGTAGCTGTGTGTATATATCTGTGATGTCACTGTATTAATTGTAAGTATTTTTCGAGAGGAATTTACAGTAGAGTATATGTATGTGTATCTTATTTGATGGTAATTTCTTGTAAATCATTTAGAACATAGTCGTTGTTGATTTAGTTAGGCAGAGACGTTTAGCTATTTCTTTCATGCATTGTTTCGGTTGTCTTTTTAGTCATTATCCGGTGTATGAGTTATTCCTTTTCTTTAAGACACTTTTCTGTTATTACTTCTGTAAGCCACAGTTGTTCCTTTCTTTAAGACACTTCTAATTATATTGGTTATTACTTTCTCGGTTGCTCTCAAATCCCTTCGAAGCGCTTTTCATTCTCTTCGCGTTATTCATTCGATCATTTCGCGCTTTTCAATTTTCCTTTTCCATTCCAGTCGTAATTGTGCGCGTTGTTCATTTGCTTATTACCACAGAAGCAAAATTTTACTGCACTTTATCATTTTCGCGTTCTTTTGTCTACCAATATCTTTCAGATTAATCATATGCTCACCATATATATATATATATATATATATATATATATATATG